GCCGTGGCCGTGGTATAGCGCGACCGTGCCCCTTTAAAAAAAAAAAAAAAATGCAGCAGCAAGTGCTGCTGGGAGGCAGTGGTTACTTCCTCCTAGCTCACTCCGTGTCGGAGGAGCGCACGTGCCAGTGAAAAGGTAGAGCCAGGTAGTGAAGAGGGAGACGCGCCGATTCCCATCATCCCCAGCCACCCTCCTGCAAAGAAAAGGTAAGAGACAGGAGGGTGGCTGGAAAATGAGCTGTGTGTGTGTCTGTATGCATGTATGTCTGTCTGTCTGTATGCATGTATGTCTGTCTGTCTGTATGTGTATGTATGAATGCATGCATGTATGTCTGTATGTATGTATGTCTGTGTATGTATGTCTGTCTGTATGTGTATGTATGTATGTATGTATGTCTGTGTATGTATGTGTATGTATGTGTGTATGCATGCCTGTCTGTCTGTATGTCTGTATGCATGTATGTCTGCATGTATGTCTATATGTATGTCTGTCTATGTATGTCTGTATGTGTATGTCTGTATGTATGTATGCATTTATGTATGTCTGTATGCATGTATGTCTATATATGTATGTCTGTCTGGATGCATGCATGTCTGTGTGTATGTCTGTATGTATGTATGTCTGACTGCATGCATGTCTATGTATGTATGTCTGTCTGTATGTATGCATGTGTATGTATGTCTGTATGCATGCATGTCTATGGATGTATGTATGCATGCATGTATGTCTGTTTGTCTGTATGCATTTATGTCTGTATGTCTGTGTATGTATGCATGCATGTATGTCTGTATGTATGTCTGTCTGTCTGTATTGTCAGAATATTTATATCGGCAGACATTTTGTTCTAAGAAAGAAATTAAAAGTGTATATTGCCAGAGTCACTCAGAACAGATCGGACTCCATTTTGCTCTCTTCAGGATAACAAAGACACATAATTTCCTTGCTTTCACTAACCACTGAGCCTGAGCTAAGGAATGCATTATATAAACACAGACACTAGTGACAGAGAAGACTAAGTAATTAATTTTACTTTCTAAATTTGACAAGGTCCCATTGTAAGTAAGGGGTGAAATTGAGTTTAGAACTGTCAATTTTAGAAATTACGATCAAAGTAGTTGCCACAAAGACTGAGACAAATGCTTTGAACTGACAGCAAATTTAAGTTATGGTACTCATTTTAGGTAAGCCAAATGATGTCAAAATCGTCATCAGGAAAAGTTAACTCTTTCCTGGATATGAAGGTTTAGTAAGGCGAGACTGCCCTCTATGGACAAAATACCTAAATTGCGATCCATAGATTGACTGTTTAATATTATCATCCCATAAATATCCCGACAGTATGTATGTGTATGTATGTATGCATGAATGTATGCCTGTATGTATGTCTGTGTATGTATGTCTGTCTGTATGTATATATATATATATATATATATGCATGCATGTATGTATGTCTGTCTGTATGTGTATGTATGTATGTATGCATGCATGCATGTCTATGTATGTATGTATGTATGTCTGTATGCATGAATGTATGTCTGTGTATGTATGTGTGTATGCATGTCTGTCTGTCTGTCCCTATGTCTGTCTGTCTGTATGTGTATGTCTGTCTGTATGTATGTCTGTCTGTATGTCTGTATGTATGTCTGTGTATGTATGTGTATGTATGTGTGTATGCATGCCTGTCTGTCTGTATGTCTGTCTGCATGTATGTATGTCTGTATGTCTGTCTGCATGCATGTCTATATGTATGTCTGTCTATGTATGTCTGTATGTATGTGTATGTCTGTATGTATGTATGCATGTATGTATGTATGTCTGTATGCATGTATGTCTATATATGTATGTCTGTCTGGATGCATGCATGTCTCTGTGTATGTCTGTATGTATGTATGTCTGACTGCATGCATGTCTATGTATGTATGTCTGTCTATGTATGCATGTGTATGTATGTCTGTATGCATGCATGCATTTCTATGGATGTATGTATGTCTGTCTGTCTGTATGCATGTATGTCTATGTATGTCTGTCTGGATGCATGCATGTCTGTGTGTATGTCTGTATGTATGTATGTCTGTGTGTATGTCTATGTATGTCTGTCTGTCTGACTGCATGCATGTCTATGTATGTATGTATGTATGTCTGTATGTATGCATGTGTATGTATGTCTGTATGCATGCATGTCTATGGATGTATGTATACATGCATGTTTGTCTGTTTGTCTGTATGCATGTATGAATGTATGTCTGTATGCATGTCTGTGTATGTATGTCTGTCTGTATGTATGTGTATGCATGTATCTCTGTATGTATGCATGAATGTATGCCTGTATGTATGTCTGTGTATGTATGTTTGTCTGTATGCATGTATGTCTGTCTGTATGTGTATGTATGCATGCATGTCTGTATGTATGTCTGTGTATGTATGTCTGTCTGTATGTGTATGCATGTATGTATGTCTGCATGTGTTAAGACACCCCTGGTGTCTTTAAACGAAACCGCCGTTTAGTCAGCTTTCCCCTTCTGCAATACCAATAATCTCCGTTCGCATGAACTGCAGTGTACGAACCAAACTCAGGGGAAGCGGCAATCTCCCGACCGGGATCTGTGAACGGCTCCAACCTCCTGAACGGAACTCCACGAACTGCTGCTAGCCGTCGAACAATGATATCCACCAAGCGGCATTCGGTTCCATCCAGCAGTCTCTAAACGCAAAGAAAAAATCCCCCCAATAACGAGACAGAAGCTCCGCATTGAGGGTCAAACAGGATCTGGCTTTACTGTGGGCTACCTGCCCAGATTTATGCAGGTCTCCCACTTGGTGGACACTCCCCTAGGGGACCAAATGGGAGACTGTAATGACAGACAGACATGAGGACATTCCAGACATACAGTCACAGCTTTTACCCACAATACACTATGGTTTCCTCCCCTCTGCCCTGGAGATAATTAAGAAGTAACTCAATTATCTCCACGACAAAGCCAGTCGCCATTTTAAATATAAAACCAGAAAATTTATAAAAATTCATAACTTTACAAAAACCGAAAATTTCCCATTCGCATCACATATCCCCAGATAGCCTGGATCTGAGTGCATATTATTAGCAAATAGCGCTCAGATCCCACACACATAGTTCAATCGCCATGGAGTCAAAGTTCTTACAGTCTTTCGGTATACGAATGACTCCATGGGAAGGCTATCTGGGTTAAGTCCTTTCGTATGCTTCAAAAGCTCCCGAACGGCCGGTATTCGTATGCTTTCGTGGAGGCAGCCAGGCGTTCTGTTGTTTCAGCGGTGTTCGGCAGAAAAAGTGTCAGTTTTTAGTTCCATGAAAATAGAGCCAAACACCGCTGGGCTTTCGCATGGTTTAAAATGGCCGCTGCCTCGTGGTCGACATACGAACGACGACCACCCTGAATTCGGTTTAATTGAGAAGTGTCTGTGGTTAACCACAACATTCTAATTGGGATCAATAGGTTAACCAGCAGCACACTTCTCTCCTGGGTGGCCATCCGTTCGGTAGTTTTGTTCGGGAAAAATGGTCATTCATATGGCTGGGCTATAGGAAACAGCCATTTACAAGAACGGGGCAAAACAGACGAATACACCAACAATAAACAGACAGATGGTTCTGTCACAGTATGTATGCATGAATGTATGTCTGTATGTATGTCTGTGTATGTATGTGTGTATGCATGCCTGTCTGTCTGTCTGTATGTCTGTATTCATGTCTGTCTGTATGTATGTCTATGTATGTCTGTCTGTCTGTCTGCCTGTATGTGTATGTCTGTCTGTCTGTCTGTATGTGTATGTCTGTATGTATGCATGTATGTCTATGTATGTATGTCTGTCTGGATGCATGCATGCCTGTGTGTATGTCTGTATGTATGTATGTCTGTGTGTATGTCTATGTATGTCTGTCTGTCTGACTGCATGCATGTCTATGTATGTATGTCTGTCTGTATGTATGCATGTGTATGTATGTCTGTATATGTCTGTATGCATGCATGTATGTCTGTTTGTCTGTATGCATGTTTGTCTGTTTGTATGTATGCATGTGTATGTATGTCTGTATGCATGCATGTATGTGTGTATGTATGTCTGTCTGTATGTATATGTATGTATGCATGCATGTCTGTCTCTCTGTCTGTATGAATGTATGTCTGTCTGTATGTCTGTCTGCATGCATGCATGTCTATGTCTGTCTGTATGTATATATGTCTGTCTGTATGTCTATGTATGTATGTCTGTGTATGTATGTCTGTGTATGTATGTCTGTGTGTATGTATGTGTATGTCTGTATGCAAGTATGTATGTCTGTCTGTCTGCATGCATGTATGTGTGTATGTCTGTATGTATGTATGTCTGTGTGTATGCATGTATGTCTATGGATGTATGTATGTATGCATGTATGTCTGTCTGTATGTATGTCTATATGTATGTCTGTATGTCAATATATATATATATATATATGTGTCAGTATGAATGTATGTCTGCTTATCATTATGAACGTATGTCTGTGTGTATGTGTGTTGATGGATAGTACACTATAAGAAGCTTATAGAATTTGCTCAGTTCCTCTTTAGTGTTGTAGCAGAAGAAGGAAAAAAAAATAAAAAATTATATTGTACACTAAGATGCTTTCTATATCCTCAATTGAGGGAATATTTCTCCGGAGCAGCAGTTGAAGCAAACTATATTGATCAAATTTAGGGGTGTAAATCGAGATTATTTTGATAGATCATAGCTTGATACTAATACAAAATCTCAACTGCAAATTGCAAAAAAAAATTATTTGTCTGTTAATTTTTTATATAGAGGGGAGCAACCTGTGAGGGCAATTTACCTATGAAAGAATATTTGTTGGTTACTATGGCAAAACTAGCCACCTATTCATATGCAAGACTGAGTTGGTTCAACAATTTGGGGTTCCCGAACAGACTAAAGGCATATTGTTCTTCAGTCAAGCCAACGTCAAGGCAGACCCCCCTAGACGGGTCCTACACTGACCTTTCACCTTGCTTCCTTGAGCGTCTGGCAAAAATATCTCCATTGAGACAGAGAGGGGTATTTTTTTATATACACCCCTATATGCTTATTAACCCATAATAGGGAACCCTTTCTGTCTCAATGGAGATATTTTTGCCAGAAGCTCAAGGAAGCAAGGTGAAAGGTCAGTGTAGGGAGGTCTGCCTTGACGTTGGCAGGCGGGCATTCCCTCCAGTGGCCATTGGAGTAACTAAATGACCTCCATTTGTTTAAATATACATAGGGATTAAGGAGAGAGCGCAGGTAACTTTTTTCCTTTGGTTTTTACTATATGTATTAGCTGATGTGTACCGTAGTCATTGCTGACGTCCCAGGAGTGATGGTAGTGAGCGCAGGACTTTTCTTTTTGTAAAAAATAAGATCTATTTCTGTCTAAACATTGCTATAACTTGGCCAGTCCAGTGGATTGTATACTGTTGTCATTTAAACATTAAGCAAGTAATTGTTATATAAAAACATGGAAACATAGAATGTGACGGCAGATAAGAACCATTCGGCTCATCTAGTCTGCCCAATTTTCTAAATACTTTCATTAGTCCCTAGCCTTATCTTATAGTTAGGATAGCCTTATGCCTATCCCACGCATGCCTAAACTTCTTTACTGTGTTAACCTCTACCACTTCAGCTGGAAGGCTATTCCATGCATCCACTACCCTCTCAGTAAAGTAATACTTCCTGATATTATTTTTAAACCTTTGTCCCTCTAATTTAAGACTATGTCCTCTTGTTGTGGTATTTTTTCTTCTTTTAAATATAGTCTCCTCCTTTACTGTGTTGATTCCCTTTATATATTTAAATGTTTCTATCATAAAGTCCGGGACTTGATTCATTTTAGTGTCAGCCCTAACTCCTAGAACATTTGTCCCAGTGATCAAGTGGGGGATAAAAGAGGGGACAAAATGAGATATAAAGACAATCGAGTTACTAAAATTAAAGGCAAGGAAAAAAAGAAAGAAAATACAAAAGCATCAAGTAATTTATTTTCCCCTCTAAATAAATCAAGAATATTGGATAACTCTGAATTAGCCCTTGAAATACAAAAAGACCTAGTTCAATCTGATATTCCAACAGTGTCAGGGGAATCATCTATGGTGGATGAAACCATTGAGACAGTTGGTCTGGGAGAGGAATGGCTTGCAATTCCTACAATAAAGGAAGTAATGAGAGATCTATTGAAAGATTTTAAGACCTCAGCTGTCAGAGAGATAAGTGTAGGGATCACAAAAAAATCCAAGGATATAAATATACTGTTGGAAAAATTAGCAGCAATGGGATGTCAACAAGATACATTGATAAAACAGCAAAATGAAGCTCAAATGGAGATGATCAGCCAAACAAAAGTATAATAGATTGGAAAAATTTTCTAGACAAAGTAAAATTGAAATAGGAGGTATCCCAGAGGCAGTGGGATACTCAGATTTAACCAAGTATGTTAATAATGTTTTGAGCTCACATATATAAAAATAAAAAAGCACACATTTTGGTGGTGGAGATCACACTGCTGTTATAATATTTACAATACTTATTATAGACATTCATATAAATAAAGATTTCAGTGGGTTTTTTTAGCAAATAAAATTGCTGAATTTCACAAGTTGAGGATAACATATAAGTATAGATATTAAAAGTAAAATAGTTGTAGTGACACCCACTTTAGAAGACTGGTTAAATTCACTGATAATCATTAACTCACACAAACGTTTACTGTTGTTGAGCTCACATTGTTTACAGTATATATGGATAGCACTCAACTCTTGCTATAGCTTCCTGTATGGAAATACCTTCTAGGGTTCCTTAGGATGCCCTATCTTAGCCTTTAGCATGCTTAGGAAATAAAAAACAGCATCTATGAGCCCACTGTTGCCTATAAGATATTATTGAAAGAGATGGCTTTGACTGTAAAATGGTGTGAAGACCCCCACCAGTGTCTCAAACTCAAGTTTGTTCGACTTATCTTAGTTCACTTACTGTTGATCTTAAAGGCAGGGCGGTGAGCGGTGGTGATCTAAGTTTGAAAATCACTGTATTAATAATTAAATTATAATGGTTTTAATTTTCTTAATGGATGATAGTAGTTGTTCTGTGTGTCATGTTAGTCAAGGTATTCCGAGAGGCGAGATGGAAGGAGCTGGGGCAGTGGGGGCAAGCAATTTTCAGGAAGAAAGGTTATCTATCTACCCATGACATTAAAAATGATTAGCCAAAATGTCCAAGGCATAAATTCAATAGGCAAGAGGAGTATTGCATTTAAGTACCTGTTTAAAGAAAGAGCTGATATCATATGCATTCAAGAAACCCACTGGCAGACAGGTAAAATTCCAAATTACGGTAATATTATACAGATGGACATGATGCTACCCACGCAAAAAAAAAAGTAAGAGGAGTATCAATAATTTTTAATAAAAGATTACAACTGAAAGAGGAGTTTTTTCCATAGGAGACAGTGAAGGCTGTTATGCATTATGGACAGGTCTTATTAATTCTCAAACGTTCACGATATTGAATATTTATGCTCCAACAAGGGTCAAATTTAATTTATTAGCCACACTTTGAAACTAATGAAAAAAATTATTTGTGGGTTTCTTAATTGTTTGTGGAGACTTTAACATACAGGTAGTCCCAAGCATGGATAAGAAATCTTTAGTGGAATCTACCCCCGACCCTTACTTAGTGCAAAACTCGAATTTTTTTTACAAGATATTGGTAAAATACAGACTCCATGATACATGGAGAACCATACATCCATCAGAGCAAGATTACGCTTTATTTTCGCATAGACACAAAACATATAGTAGGCTGGATTATATTTTTGTTGATATTAGCTGCTTACACAGCATTAAGCAAGCAGAAATAGGTCCTATTGTATGGTCTGATCATGGGCTGGCCACAGTGACCCTGAGCATTGGTGGCCAGACTAGGACCAGTACATCATGGAGGATGGATATAGAGCTTCGGAAGGATCCCTAGATCTTAGAGAAATTAAAGGATGTATTGAGATTATTCTTCCAAAGTAAATTCTAAAGGAATAGTTTGGTTAACTCATAAAGCATATACAGGGAGTGCAGAATTATTAGGCAAATGAGTATTTTGACCACATCATCCTCTTTATGCATGTTGTCTTACTCCAAGCTGTATAGGCTCGAAAGCCTACTACCAATTAAGCATATTAGGTGATGTGCATCTCTGTAATGAGAAGGGGTGTGGTCTAATGACATCAACACCCTATATCAGGTGTGCATAATTATTAGGCAACTTCCTTTCCTTTGGCAAAATGGGTCAAAAGAAGGACTTGACAGGCTCAGAAAAGTCAAAAATAGTGAGATATCTTGCAGAGGGATGCAGCACTCTTAAAATTGCAAAGCTTCTGAAGTGTGATCATCGAACAATCAAGCGTTTCATTCAAAATAGTCAACAGGGTCGCAAGAAGCGTGTGGAAAAACCAAGGCGCAAAATAACTGCCCATGAACTGAGAAAAGTCAAGCGTGCAGCTGCCACGATGCCACTTGCCACCAGTTTGGCCATATTTCAGAGCTGCAACATCACTGGAGTGCCCAAAAGCACAAGGTGTGCAATACTCAGAGACATGGCCAAGGTAAGAAAGGCTGAAAGACGACCACCACTGAACAAGACACACAAGCTGAAACGTCAAGACTGGGCCAAGAAATATCTCAAGACTGATTTTTCTAAGGTTTTATGGACTGATGAAATGAGAGTGAGTCTTGATGGGCCAGATGGATGGGCCCGTGGCTGGATTGGTAAAGGGCAGAGAGCTCCAGTCCGACTCAGACGCCAGCAAGGTGGAGGTGGAGTACTGGTTTGGGCTGGTATCATCAAAGATGAGCTTGTGGGGCCTTTTCGGGTTGAGGATGGAGTCAAGCTCAACTCCCAGTCCTACTGCCAGTTCCTGGAAGACACCTTCTTCAAGCAGTGGTACAGGAAGAAGTCTGCATCCTTCAAGAAAAACATGATTTTCATGCAGGACAATGCTCCATCACACACGTCCAAGTACTCCACAGCGTGGCTGGCAAGAAAGGGTATAAAAGAAGAAAATCTAATGACATGGCCTCCTTGTTCACCTGATCTGAACCCCATTGAGAACCTGTGGTCCATCATCAAATGTGAGATTTACAAGGAGGGAAAACAGTACACCACTCTGAACAGTGACTGGGAGGCTGTGGTTGCTGCTGCACGCAATGTTGATGGTGAACAGATCAAAACACTGACAGAATCCATGGATGGCAGGCTTTTGAGTGTCCTTGCAAAGAAAGGTGGCTATATTGGTCACTGATTTGTTTTTGTTTTGTTTTTGAATGTCAGAAATGTATATTTGTGAATGTTGAGATGTTATATTGGTTTCACTGGTAATAATAAATAATTGAAATGGGTATATATTTGTTTTTTGTTAAGTTGCCTAATAATTATGCACAGTAATAGTCACCTGCACACACAGATATGCCCCTAACATAGCTATAACTAAAAACAAACTAAAAACTACTTCCAAAAATATTCAGCTTTGATATTGAGTTTTTTGGGTTCATTGAGAACATGGTTGTTGTTCAATAATAAAATTAATCCTCAAAAATACAACTTGCCTAATAATTCTGCACTCCCTGTATAAGGGGATTATTGATAAAATGGCAAGCACAAAAAAAAAAAAGAGAGGCAAAACTAAGAGAGCTTCATATTGAGCTTAGCCAGTTGGATAGATACAACAAAAATACTCCAAATATTATAACTATGACTAAAATTCAGGATATACAACTACAAATAAAAAAGATTCAGCAGAATTTGGTTGATAAGTCCATATGGGCCCTGCAATAACGTCTCTACCATTGTGGTAATAGGGCGGGAAGAATGATGGCAAATAAGCTAAAATGGAAAACAAAAAATAATAGAATAGATATTGATCCCAATTAGAATGTTGTGGTTAGAATAGATAATTCATAACAAAGAATGCTTTTCACGCCTAAAGGATATAGCCAAGAACTTTGAGAAATATTATTATGATTTATATAACTTAAATTTTAATAAAACAGATCAATCTACAAAAAAAAAGGAATATTTTTATTTTTTTGGACAAAATTCATCTTCCCAAAAGCAGAGATGGTAACTTTAAACAAAGAGATAACGGA